GGGGGGGTCTCACCTGTCCAGCTTGTCCCGGCTCAACTCCTTCAGTAGGTGTGTCGGTGAGTAGTACGGGAAGTTGTCCACTCCATTCATGGCTTTGTGCATGGTGGAGACGTACTCCACTCCCCGCTTCTGCTCGTGCTCGTAGTGGTCCATGACGTTGTACACGCCGCTCAGACCTGTCAGAAATATGGCAGATTACCATTAATAAATCCAGGCAGTGAATCCAAGAAAAATAAGAAGATTGAAAGATGATTAAAGGACTTTTGTGTTTGAAGACCTCAGGTCATAGAATACATTCATGCGACGAAAGCATCTTTGTGGCACGCATGAATGTATTAAAGTTGAGTTCACATAAGCTTAAAACACGGTCAACACTGAAACAGTGATGCTCACCAATGACTCCTCTTATGGCCAGCGTGACGTCCCTCTGCTGGCTCGCCTCTAAGAAAAGCTCCTCTCTTGCATCGATGAGAAACAGCGTGGTCAGTGAGCACAGATGAGCACCCGCCGAATGGCCAATTAATACTATGTTGTCCTATAAATGGCAGAAAAAAAACAAGACATGTGTAATGATGTATTATCTACAGTGAACACTGGGTGACTGAGGATCAGGGCTCCCAAAACATCATTATTTTGTTAGTTAATTAGAAACTGATTATGATTGGGTCAGTTTAGAATGTATTCATGATTTGAGTTTAAACTGTGAGAACTGCACACTTTAGGGTTGCTGGTGTTGATATTGTCATTTCTTATAAAAATGGCAAAACCATCGCCATCTATTGTTTAAAAGTCAGCCCTGATCTTTCAGGGCCTGTTCTGAGATAGAGCCGACCATTTGGGACTAATGTACGCCATGAACTAAAATAAAGTTAACAAACAAAACTGTGACTTGACTGTGTAGATGAAACATTAAGTTGTTTAATTTGACTCATTTAGCTGCTGACTAGTTAGTTTCTTGTCTCATTTGTGGTCAAACAAACAGTAAATTCATCAAATTCAGTACCTCGTGCAATATCACTATTTTCCAAGCTACCATAACTGTCATATTTGGCTTTTGACATAATGAAGTGGGCGTGGTTTCATCTCTCAGGCCCTCAGACCTGTGGGTGAAGTTACACTTTAAATTTCCCATAAAATTGATTCGTGGTTCTCATTGTACTCCGTGTCTGGACAACTTTTGTTTTCCTGCATGAAAAGGGATATTAATAATTGGAAAGGATTCAGGAAAATGTAAGCTACCTGCAAGCTTTTATATGAATTTATGACACCTATAAAAATTCTCCTTGATTTGGTTTATAATAAAGGTTAATGTTATCCTCATAATCTGACGGTTTTCTTCAGTTTTCTAAGCAATACATTAACATATTTCTTACTTTATCAAAGTTGAACTTCTGTCCACTCTCTTGGGCCCAAACCAAGCAGTCGGCAATATCTTGGACCATGCCTAAAACGTTCGCCTGGATCAGCAATCAGATGGAACCAGCAGTCAGTCCAGATACCACAGTAAGATTTATGACATTTATTATCTGCAATTCGTACCTATATTTCACAAAGTTATGAGAAACCGTTCACATTCCAGTCATTCATACATGTGCTGTAACAATCCAATAAGACGACGGAGTGTTGCTCTCCTACCTGTGGATAGACGAAGTAATCAGGACAAATGACAGTTGCGCTCAGTTCTTCGGCCATCTGCCTCGCCAGCAGACAGTAAATGGATCGATCTCCGGAGCCCCACGCGCCTCCGTAGATGAACACCACCAGCGGAGCGGGCGCGCCTTTGGACCTGTCCACGTTGGGAGGGTGGTACAAGTCCAGCTTGTTGCTTCGGCGGCCAAACGTGATGCCCTTTGTGTCCAGACAGACAAAACGGTGAACTTTGACACAATCTTTAGTCAAAGCAGTGAAAGCCGAGACAAACATAAAAGTACGATTATTTGATTTTAGATGTTTACTAAAACGTCTGGCCCCCTACAGTGGAAAGACACTTCTTCGTCACTCGTCGTTAACACACCTTCTCGTAGTGCTTGCGGTTCTCCTCATTCTTGTACCATGACTTCCACTGAAAGTAAAGTCTCCCGTATTGCAGGTATTTGAGAGTCTCCAGCACAGCTTTGGTCAAACAGTATATTCTTCTGTAGAAGAGGCCAAAGATGGAGGTGGATTAATAACAGACTCTTCTTAACGAGTGAGACAAGAGGAAGAGATCTGGAGTATTTTACAAGTTACCGTGGTTTCAGAGCTTCTATGTACTTCTTGTATCCAGGCTTGTTGGGCCAGCCATAAAGCCACTGGGCCGCTAGAGAGATGGAGTAAGGGAGGCCCACCAACAGGACCCCCACCGACACAGGCAGCGACATGTGATGTTTCAACCCTGACCTTCAAAAGAAAAAGATATACATATATATATATATTAGTATATTACTCTTTCAAAAGTTATATCACCCAATGCTCTTCAGAATGTGTTTGAGAGGCTCTTACATGTTCTGGTTCAGTCCGTCTGTCTTGCCTACAACAAAGAAGAGAGAAACCTTGAAACATGTGTTACGTTGTTATCAGACACGCAACAGGTTGAATGTAAAATGTTCAGTTGTAACTCCTGGCTTCATTAATGCTTAGTAAATAATTGACTAATGTTTTATAGTTCACAAATTAGCTGTTAATACATGCAAATGTGGGGCTGTTAGGTTATCATCCTCCAGATACTTTACTTTTTATTTGACCAGGTAAAAGTTCTAATTGACCTTTGACCTTGTAGAAAAATACTGCAAGGCATCTGGACCAAAATAATGTTATTAATAACTTATTAACATTTACAATTAAAGATTTGATGGATTGTTAAAAAATAAAACGTTTTGACATTTCTAATAACAGATGAAGTAGTTTTGCTGTTGGCTTATTAGAAAGTGAGACACACGTGACCTTGTTATTGGTTACTTATTAACTAATTAGAGACACTTGTTACCCTTAATTCATATTTGAATATATTAATGACTTACCAGCCAGAGAAATGTCACAAACTTGAACCCAAACGTTTTAAAGAATGGCTTGTGACGTAGCCTATCTCTAGAGCATTAGTAAATGGTAAAAATATAAATAATTTATAACTCTATTATTTATAAAACCTTAATGATGGGTGACTTAGAAAGTGGTTCCCAGCTTTTTCTAAGTGTGTACCGTTAACATGGCGCCCTCTAGTGGGTCTCTATACATTAACACCGTCGCTTATCAGAAGCTTCATCTGATAAAGAATAACACAAAGAAGCACATAACCCTTTGATAATGGCCACTAACGTTACTTTATAAATTGATATTAGCTAGCTAGCTATGAGCTACAGTGAGGTTACAGTATTGTATATGAGGAAACATCATTTTGCGTTCCTCTGCTTTTCACAATTTTGTCGTAAAGCTAAGTTAAACGTGACCTCTTTCTATCTGAACACCGTGTGAACGGAAGGACTGTTCCGGTTGCGTGAGCTACGGTAGAAGTAAAGTTAACTTCACGTTATATAAGATGTTTTTGTAGCTTAACTTATTATTTGCTTCGGAAAACAAAGGAAAGGTCAGGAAAAAAACACGGAAGCCTAAACATAGCAAAATATAATCATATGTAGTACTGAATGCCTGTGTCGCGGGTTAATGTGGTCCGGTATTAAACCCTTAGTTTCGGATGAACCGATGCCACGGATAACCTCGTTACCTGTCCTCCAGAAGCCAGCGTCGGCCCCACACGTACAAAGAACAAAAGTATGCGGCTAAGCGAGAGGGAAATCTTCCTTAACTTCCGGTGCTGCTCGAAAGTATCGTATGCCAGGTGACTGCAGGTTTTTATATGAAAAAAAGCAGTAGATAAAATACGAATAATACAGAAGCTATGACCGCTACATTAAAACTTCATTTATTGGAGCATCTCTACGTGTACTCAAATAAATAAATAAACAAAGCGACTTGCATCTGTGAAGTTACTTCAGGAAAAGACGGATTTCTATCTTGTTATACTCAACAGCTCCGCTCTGATACCCCGGAAATACATCTACGAGAATGACCCCCTTCATGCAGATAGCAGAAAACCAGACAATGGAAACTGTAGGTTGACCCCCCCCCCCCCCAAAAAAAAAATCATAACTCAAGGTCAATCTACTAATTTCTATTGGAGATTTTTAACTAGATCTCGCAGTCGTCATGGATATAGCTCAGTTGCTACCTGCCCCCTGCAGGTATTGACAGCTGATGGCAGCATAATGACACCAACCGCCGAGGAAGACCGTGAGATGTGGCTGAAAGCTTAAAAAATGTTTCTAAAAAAATCAGTAAATGCACCTCGATTTAAGATTACTATTATTTTTAACCTGGTGAATTTAAAGCGGCTAAATTGCACTTATGTTAAATTTCAGTTAATAAGGTCCCATATGGTTTTATATAATCTCTCTCTCCACTCCAGCAGAGACTGGTTGTGTAATGTTTACACCTCATATCTTTACTGAATGGTAATAGAGCACTGGAAGATAAAATAAAAATAACTCTAGTATAAATAAAATTAAAATATATTAGAAAATAATTCATATTTCTCTCTTTCTGTCTTGACCAATCACACGCATGCACTCACGCACCCGCGTGTCCCTAAATGCCATGGAAACGGACCCGACCAAGGTTACTTAAGGCCGATCAGAACGTTCTGATCCTCACTCTGCACTTGGACCTGAACATGAGCGGATCACCTCTTGAGCTGAACACCTCTTGGACATCCATGCCGTGGAGAGCCGAGTCTTTGAGTTTTTAACTTCTGGAGAAAAGCTACTCGATACGAATCTTTTGTAGAACTGAACTACTGGATCACTACTATCGTGGACAACAGGAGAGCCGGAAAAAGGCCCTCGGTTGTCTGCCGATCGAGGAGGACCACCTGCTGAGGAGAGCGGGCTGTGAGTTGGACGATAAGCTTGCAGGTAAGACAACTTTTAGATTTATTTTAGGATTTTTCAGTTTGATACATCCCCTTAAATCCTTAAAAGTGTTCTCAGTTTAGAAATCAGTGAATTTTTTTTGAGTTGAAAGGTGAACAGTTCACACTACGTATATTATCAGGCCTGTTGGAAAAACACCGATTTGGTGGAAACAGACAGATCGTCTGTAAAATGATTATTTGGGTGAATGTCCTAAATGTGGCGGGACGTCTGTGGAATGTGTTCACAATCAGTGTAGAGGTTTAAAAACACTCTTATTGTGGTTTGAAGGCATCAAATCTTCCTATTTTAAAATTAGAATTTATATATCTGAAAAATGAAAATATAACTTTTTCATAAAATGTTAAGCATCGAATCTTCCTATTTTAAAATTAGAATTTATATTTCTGAAAATAGAACTTTTTCGTAAAATGCTAAATATAGGCTTAAGTTGTGCACGTGGGTTTGTTTTGAAAGTTGAAACTTGAGTTATTGTAGAAAAAACATCTGCTCCTTTTACTTTATAATATTACATCAACTATTTCTTTAACATTTAACATTGAGATGCGCTTTGCTCGTTGTTGTGGTATTTTGTTTACGAGGGACAAGCGAGCGATCTGTTAAGTAACTGTACGGGACTGCATGTGCGCGTGCATCATCTCCTCCACGTGCTGTGATATGCAACTCATAAACTGGGAGAATAATGAGTTATAAGCTAAAGAGGGTACTGTGGTTATGTTGGATTAATGTAGCCATGTTTCACTGTGCGTCATGACGCAAGTAGCTCAATGCATATTAAACACGTTCATGCTATTTACTGCAAACCATTGATCGTTTTGTCCACACAAACATTGAAGTCCTTACAATTGTTTGGTGCAGAATAACTAACTGTTAACTGAACTAATGTTCGAACTAACAGAGGCAGAGCTGTACTATGTTTGATATTATTGTTAAAATGTGTGTTGGTGACTTGGTGACACGTGTAGTGCGGTCATCAATTTTTCTAATTTAATCTTTGATTATTCTTCAATGTAATCCAGAAATATTTCATGTTATGAGAAATCCTTACAGTTTTAATTTTTCCCTCTCAGCTGGTGTGAACTACATCATGGAACGTCCTGCACAAGAGGGCTGCAGGGTCGTCCCGTACTCTTCTGACGACGGAGCAGGTGTAGTATGTGTTGAATATGTTTATTATGTAAAGGGTGAGTATGAGGTCAGGCTTGACGTTTTGGTCCTAGCTAACCAGGAGGAGGAAGAGGACGAGGAGGAAGACGTCGTGTCCGACTGGGAGGCCTTAGATTCCGGGTATGACTCCATGTTCGAGGATACAGAGGATAAAGAGGAAGAGGAGGAGGAAGAAGAAGAGGGGGAAGAGGAAGAAGAAGAAGAAGAGGAAGAAGAGGAAGAGGAAGATGAAGATGACCCTCTCACCCAGCAGTTACCACCTAGGAGTTTCTGGGAGGGGTTCTACCGAGTGCTGACTCCTCCTCCCTTTCCCGCTGGCCATCCTCTCTCCCTCCCTTTTGGTGTGGAACGTTCTGAAGAGGCTCCGCCCCTGGTCCCCCAGAGGTTAGAAGAGAATGTCAGAAACTGGATTATATATTTGGATCTGACTCCTTTGAAGTTAGACCCACAGGACCACAGAATTTGAGACACAAAACAATCTGTCCAGTCAGTGTTTTCTCCTCAGAATTAAATATGGCATCTCAGACATCACCAGTTGTTTGCGTAATGCAAAATGCGACCAGACGCAGTACATCCTGGTATTTGTGGCAAACTGTATTTGATATACAATGTATTAGGACATACTAGATATTTTTCTGGCATATTAATAGAATGGAAGTATGGCTATTGGAACACACATACATAAACCTTCACTAAACCACTGAACTGATCAGTGTTTAGTAAAAGAATGCAACACAAATGAGCTTTTATGTTGGTGGTTTGGGAGTTGATCAACAAATCCACTAAAAGAGGAGATGTTAGTTTCCACAACTCTGCACTACTACATGCATGTGAGATAAAATAAACCCAAGTAAGTGTGCAACAAAGTAAAGCACATGATGACCCTCAAAATGCTGTGTGATAAATTACAGCGAACATAACATCAATCAAATCTACAATAGTAGCCAGTTTGGCTCTGTGTTCAATAGATCGTTCTGTTATGAGACACTTTGCCCAACAACACATGTACCCATTTGAAAACATGACAACAATTGTACTGTATGACTGAGAATCACAAATTTTTATTACACCTTCAAATTGAACAATGGCGCACCTGCTACCATGCCAATGTCATGAGAAATGGGGATTTCCTGGCTGCAGGTGATACAACAAGGACGCTTACTGGTGCATGCTGCTCTCTGGTGGACTAGTACATACTGTATAACCGCTTTACTCAAGAACGGTAATTTCATGGGAGTTATTTTTATGTAATTCAATCTAAGTCATACACAATTTAACTAGTGATTATGAACTGTTGTTGAGAGGCAAGTGAAGGTTCTGAGTTTTAGGTGATATGTCTCGGCTTCAGGGCTGGTGTTAACATTGAAAATGGGGTCAAGGAGAGGGATATTTTCTTAAAGACTGACAAACCTACGCTCCGTCTCTTTCTGGGCAGGCTGAAATGGGGGAAACACACACTGCAATGAAGAAGATGTAGGTCTAAGAGTATTATTGTAAATTTGTCCTGTGTTTAAAACAGGCAAAAGCTGTAGCTGGTTTCATTGATAAAAACCTCCATATTTCGTGGCTTTTAGTGATACATAGATTCCACTCCATTAAAATTGCTGTCCAGGCTCAATAAAAGATATGAGAGTTCTGAGAGATGCCAGGTGATTGGTTGATGACCTTGATTGCTGATTGACAGCACCTGTGTGGAGGCTGTGTGTTGAGTCTTGTGATGTATAAAACAGCATCTTGACTGTTGTTCTCCAGGGGTCTTCAACATTTTTCAGGCCAAGGACCCCCAAACTGATAGAGAGATGGAGCAGGGACCCCCGACTATATATATTTTATAAAATTGTGTTTTATATTAAATGGGCCTAGTACCGTGTATACCTCTTTATTGTGCATTCAATACTAAGGTATTCAAATAATACACAGGTTCATATATTCATGTTTTTATTTTAAACATGTGCAAGGTACAGTGAGTATACTGCCATTTATAAACATACCTTGTCAGCTGATACCAATGCCAATATCAACATTGTCTGTTAATTGCATGATAGTCATGCATACAAGCTATTCAAACTGATGTTTTCATTTTAAATGTGGAAACGAAAAATGAGTGATGGCCTATTAGTGCCACTGCCATGCATAAAGATACCTGCTATCTTTCATACAATACTGAACTATTAAAACAATGGACAGATTCGTGTTTAGAGAAATTCATGTTTTTTTTTAAATTGTTTAACTAATCAACCAAAAATTTCGCGGACCCCCTGCAGTACCTCCGCGGCCCCTGTTGAAGACCTGCTCTCTTATTCAGCACAGCAGCTATCTGTAAAGTTGCAGCTGACATCTGTAACCAGAATGGGTGAGTTATCACCTATCTTGTATTTGCTGAGGGATTCATGTGTCATGTTCTGAGTAATGTTGCATCTCATGAACTGTAATGTTTAATTTGTGAGATTTCTGCCCTGATCTGTGTTCATTTCCAATCTTTAATCCTTGGTTTAGCCACAAAGAAACTATTACACATCTTATTGCACGCCAAGCTGTAAATTGTTGTAGGCGTGTGGGAATCACAAGCATTGTCACTGTTTAACTGTCTAATTAGAATCCTTCATAACAGATTCAATAAATGTAAAATGATATTACTGTAAAGGACTAAAGTGTCTTAAGATAAGATCAGAGAATCCTTTATTAGTCCCGCAGTGGGGACATTTACAGAATTACAGCAGCATAGTGGATATTGCAAACAGAGACATATTAAAAAAACAAGTATTTTAAGTAAATAAATAAGTAAACAGTAAAGAATATTAAATAAGTAAAGAATCCACAATGACTAAGATATTATATTAACATTATTTTGATTAAACAAAATTGCGAATGAATTTGAAATTCCCCAGTCTAATTATATGCTGGCATGCAGTAGCTACTTATTAATTGTGTGAACCACCTTGAAGCCTAATCTCTGTTTTTTTCCACTCATAACCTGAACTGAAACTGTTAATTATCTTGTGATTTTCCACATAGCTCTCAGGCCTACAGCTCAGGTCACTGTTTGGTTTGCTCATTTCTACACATTAGTTCAGTCCAACATCGGACTGATGTTAAGTGACTGAGAGAGTCTGAAAGGCTTTACATAATGACACTGGGTTTAATCTGTGTGGGTATAAATGTTGCTAGTTTCCTATTTGAAAGAATTTAATAAATGCATGTCACTGTTTATTTCCATATTAAATAGTGTTAACTAACGTTACCCGAAAAACACATACACGGACCAATTTTCTCGTTTTTAATAATTAATTTCTACAGTTCCCTTGGTCTAACTCAGTGGTTCTCAAACTTTTTCTGTCACGCCCCACTTTGGAGGAAGAAAAATGTTCATGCCCCACCACCCACAAAAAATAGCTTATTGTGGCTGCAATTCACCTGTTTTGCACTGAATACCTTTCTAAGATAATAACAACAAACTGCAACCTGTGAAAAACTAAACAAAACAAGTTCAAATATTTGGCAATAAAGAGTTTTACTGAGGTTTACACTGCATATCTTTTCAAAACAACAATAACGTGCAACCTGTGCAAAACTAAACAAAATGCTCCAGATA